ATGATCCTTAAAATCCCAACCTAAACCATTCCACGATTCAGACCTTTCCTTGTGCCTTGCATTCTTCATCTTATCCCTGCTTTTCCCTCTTTCCATCTTCCGTGACTGCTGAGATTCCACACTGGAATAAAAGAGAATAAATTATTCTCTCTTCATTTAGAAATGACAACTCAAGGGCAAATCCTGTTATTTTCTTTCCCTTTGTTGCCTGAAACTGATGGATGAGGAACCTCCTTAGCATTAAAAAAAAAAAAGCTTTTTTTTTCTTTTTTTTTTTTTTGCTGTCAAAAAATCCATTGAAACCAGAGTTGGAGTAATTATTCCCTCAGGATGTGTTAAAGCAGATTGAAACTGTCAGGAATTAAAGGCTGGGCTGGGGAAGGTGGGAGTGTAGAATTCCTGGGATCATTCCAGCTTTCCCAGTGTTACCTTAGGCAGGTCATTCCTGTCCCTCAGTGGGTTGGGAGAGGGGACCAAGATTTTTAAGGGGCTTGGTGTGAAATTTTGTACAAATTTTATGTGGTTTTAGTGGCATTTTGGGATCTGAGAGTGGGAAGAGTGATTTTTTATCCTTTGCTCCTTGGTGCCAGCTGAAATTCCTCGGGATTTTAGTCCATGCTTCATTTTATAGAGCTGCTCCATTAGTTTCTGTCCTAATTCAGAGAAAATATCCTTGGTTTTAGTTCAGCTCCCGAACTTCCTCTCTCCCCCAAGACACAACCCTGCTTTGCTGCATGGATTTTCCAGGAGGAGGGGAAACAATTCCATTTCATCCTGGTTTTCCTCGTTGCAGAGTGCAAGCACCACCTCCCCTGGAGCTGCTGGTGACCAAAATGAGCTCCTGTCCCGAATTTCCCACCTGGAAGTGGAAAACCAGAACCTCCGCAGTGGTGAGTGGGAGAATTCCTTCTCCAGAAGTCCTGGCTTGAGACCTGGGAATTTAAGGTAATTTTTCCTATTTTTCCCTCTTTTTTTCCCAGTTGTTGCCGACCTCCAGATGGCCATTTTCAAGCTGGAAAGCCGCCTGAACGCTCTGGAGAAATCCTCAACTTCCCACCAGCCCTCATCTGTTCCTCCAACCCAGGTGAGCCCTGGAAAAACGCTGGAATTCTTCTATAGGAATTATAACCCAAGATCCACGTGGACAAACATCCTGTTGTGATAAATCCACATAAATCCCACAGCGTGTTCCCAAACAGCGGAGATTCCCATTCCTGAGCTTTTTTTGGCAACTCCAGGTTAATCTTTTCCCTCTTTTTTCCCCCTTTAAAAAAAAACCCTCGGATCCGGTGAAGAAAGTGGAGCCGTTCAGCGTTCCCTCCAAAAAAGTGGAGCTGCCGGCCAAGAAATCCGAGCCAGCTGCTGCCGAGGAGGATGATGATGATGACATTGACCTTTTTGGGAGCGACGATGAGGAGGAAGACCAGGAGGCTGCCAAGGTGCGGGAGGAGCGGCTCCGGCAGTACGCGGAGAAGAAGGCCAAGAAGCCGGGACTCATCGCCAAGTCTTCCATCCTGCTGGATGTGAAGCCGGTGAGTGGATCTGGGAATTTGGGAGCTCTGGGAGTGGGGCTGGGAATCCTCTCTCATCCTAGAGGGTGGTGGTGGCACCTGTGGAATTCCAAGCAAGGCTTGGAGCCGGGTGGGATTTTCTTGCCATGGAAGGGTGGGATGGGTTTGGATGGATGGGACCTTAAATCCCATCTCATTCCATAGGCAGGGATACTTTCCACTATCCCAGGTTGCCTTGGACACTTCCAGGGATGGGGCAGCCAAAGCTTCTCTGGGAATTCCATTCCAGTGCCTCACCACTCTCCCAAGGGGGAATTTTTTCCCAATATCCCATATATTCTCACCCTATTCCAGTTTAAAACCATTCCCGCTTCTCCCGTCACTCCATCCTTGTCCAAAGTCCCTCTCCATCTTTCTTGGATCTCCTTGAGGCACTGGAAGGGGCTCTGAGGTCTTTTGGAGCTTTCTCCAGCCACGAAAGGGCACTTTGGATCCGTTGTGACATTCCCAGAGATGTCACCTGGATACCCCCTTGGAGCTGCTGCTGACGCTCCCCAGGAAAACCCTAAAACCTCCCAATTCCCACTTTTCCAGTGGGACGACGAGACCGACATGGCCAAGATGGAGGAGTGCGTCCGCTCCATCCACATGGACGGGCTGGTGTGGGGAGCCTCCAAACTGGTGCCGGTGGGATACGGCATCAAGAAACTCCAAATCCAGTGCGTGGTGGAGGACGAGAAGGTCGGCACAGACATCCTGGAGGAGGAGATCACCAAGTTTGAGGACTACGTAAGTCTTGGAATGGGATGTGGGAAGGGCCTGGAAGCCATGGGAGGGGGGTGAACTCAGGTGTGATTTCCTGGGAACACCTGGATGACTCCAGCTTTTGTCCCCTTCCAGGTGCAGAGCGTGGATATTGCTGCTTTTAACAAGATTTAGAAGGGAAAACTGTATCCCCCCTCATCCGAACCTGGAATTAATAAAGATGAACATTGGGAGTGCACGTTGGGGTCGTGGGTTTTTCCCTCGGGTGCAGCTTCTCCAGGGGGATTTGATGGGAGATTTTGGGATATTGGAGCAGCCTGGCCAAGTGGAAGGTGTCCCTGCCCATTGCAGGGGATTGGGATGAGAGATATTTAAGATCTCTTCCAACCTAAACAATTCCATGATTCCCCCATCCTTCACGGAAGGAAAGAACTCAAGACATGGACCTGAATTTTGGGGCTGGAATGAAGGTCTCAGGGTGTTTCCAGCCACATTTCCCAAGGTTTAGAGACCCCAGTCACTCCCTACAAAAAAACCAGGATGAATAACCAGGAATCATCCAGGAATTGCTGGTTTGGGATGGATTTCATCCCTCTTTTCCCACTGACTCCCTGCCCAGGTCACTTTAGCTGAGTGTGGCCTGGCAAGGGGACAGGTGACATTCCTGAGCATGGCCTGGTGAGGGCACAGGTGACATTCCTGACTTTGGGAGCACGAGGTCTGTCCCAGTGCCAGGGTCCAAAGTCTGGGACCACCAAGGGGCACGGGAATTTCCATGGGACGGTGCTGCGAGGGGACAGGTGACATTCCTGACTTTGGGAACACGAGGTTTGTCCCAGTGCCAGAGTCCAAGGGCCACCAGGGGACACGGGAAGCTCCCTGGGATTGTGCTGCAAGCCTGTCCCTTGTCCTGCTGGGGCCAGATATGTGACACTGACACGTGTCCCTCCTGCCACCCCCAGGGCACTGCCAGGAGCGCCCCTTGTCCCCTGTGCTGTGCCACGTGTGCCTTCTGTGTCCCGTTTCTGTCATGTCACCACCCCGTGTCCCCCATGGGCCACCATCCCTGTGCCCTGTGCGGACATCCCCTGTGCCCAGTGTCCTGCATCTGTCACCATCCCAGTGTCACCTGTGTGCTGCCATCTCTGCTGCCCTGTCCCCGTTGTCCCCCCGTGTCCCTCTGTCTCTGTTGCTATCCCAGTGTCCCCAACTTGTGCTGCCACCCCCGTGCCCCCACCCTTGGGCTGCCATCTCCCTGTGCTGCCGTGCCCCGTGCCCAGTGTCCTGCATCTGTCACCATCCCAGTGTCACCTGTGTGCTGCCATCTCTGCTGCCCTGTCCCCGTTGTCCCCCCGTGTCCCTCTGTCCCTGTTGCTATCCCAGTGTCCCCAGCTTGGGCTGCCATCTCCCTGTGCTGCCGTGCCCCGTGCCCAGTGTCCTGCATCTGTCACCATCCCAGTGTCACCTGCGTGTTGCCATCCCTGTCCTGTGTCCCCTGTGTGCTGCCATCCCCTGAGCCCAGTGTCACCAGTGTGTTGCCATCCCAGCTGCCCTGTCCCCGTTGTCCCCCATGTCCCACTGTATCCTCCCTCTACTGCCATCCTCCTGTCCCCCCTTGTGCTGCCATCCCCGTGCCCAGTGTCCTGCTTCTGTCACTCTCCCAGTGTCACCTGTGTGCTGCCCTATCCCTATTGTCCCCCGTGTCATTATATCCTCCCTCTGCCGCCATCCCGGTGTCCCCTTTGTGCTGCCATCCCTGTATCCAGCTGTGTCGCCAACCCTGCCCCGCGTCCCCCTTGTGCTGCCATCCCGTGTCCCCTTTGAACTGCCATTTCTGCTGTCCCCCTTATGCTGTGCTGCCATCCCCGTGTCCCCCCTTGAGCTCCCGTCCCTGTGTTCCCCCTTGTGTTGCCATCCCCGTGTCCCCCTCTTTGTGCTGTCATCCCCGTGTCCCCTTTGAGCTGCCATTTCTGCTGTCCCCCTTATGCTGTGCTGCCATCCCCGTGTCCCCTTTTGAGCTCCCGTCCCTGTGTTCCCCCTTGTGTTGCCATCCCCGTGTCCCCTCTTTGTGCTGCCATCCCCGTGTCCCCCGCTTTGTGCTGCCATTTCCGTGTCCCCTCTTTGTGCTGCCATCCCCGTGTCCCCCTTGCGCTGCCATCCCTGCTGCCCTGTCCTCTGTGTCCCTCTGTCCCTGTATCTTCCCTCTGCTGCCATCCCGGTATCTCTCTTGTGCTGCCATCCCTGCGCCACATGTCCACTGTGCGCTGCCACCCCGCGTGTCCAGCTGTGCCACCAAAACTGCCCTGTGTCCCCCTTCTGCTGCCATCCCTGCTGCCATCCCTGTGTCCCCCTTGTGCTGTCCCGCGTCCC